GGGGCGGGGGGCCCAGCCTGCTGCTTCTTGCTGGGTGGCAGGCGTCCAGCTGTGTGAGCTTGTGCCTTGCAGGTGGGGCTGTGCTCCGCGGAGCCGGTCGTGCTGCCCGGCCCCGCCCCGCCTGCAGGCTCAGCCGTCGGAGGCCAGTGGGATGGCCAGGCCGTGCTCAGCTGCCTGCTGGCGTCCCTGGGTGGGGCCTCCCCGGCTCCTCGCCTCCTCGCCCCCTCGCCCCAGGGGGCTGCTTTCCACCCACTGGTGGGCTCTCGCGCTGCCTTCAGCCAGGCCAGGCTTGCTGGCTGCACACCCATCCCGCGTGCAGAGCCCTGGTGTTGTCCCGGGTGCTGCCCTGCGGTGCCTGGTGCTCCCTTGGCCAGGCAGGCAGGGAGGTCAGTGGGGCCGAGGGTGGGGCAGGTGGGGGACTGTGAGGAGGGGCTCCGGGTGCGGCCTCCTTCCCGACTGGGGCGCTGGCCCGTCTGTCCCTGGAGTCGGGCCTGTTATTTCCTGTCCGGAAGCTGTCTGTGAAGAGCCTCGTTTGTTGGGGCCCGGCTGTTCCCTGGGGCGACGGTCAACAGCCCTTCCCCTCGGGACGAGGGCCCCTCCCGACTAAAGCAGCCTCGAGGCCCCGGAGAGTGCACCCACCTCCAGGGCCCCGGCCGTCGTGAGTCAGCACCAGGGCGGCAGCACAGGCGGGCCGGGCTGTGACGGCCACGCGGCTGCCTGGGCCACTGGGACCCCGCTGCACCGCAGTGAGTGTGGTGGCAGGTGGGGCTGGGAGTGCCTTGGGAGCTTGGCCAGTCCCCGGTTCTGCTGCCCGTGTGTCCAGGCAAGGCAGAGCCGTCAGTTCCTCCTGGGCTTCCGGAGAGCGAACTGGCCCGCCTCCTCCCGCCGCCTTCCCTGCCTCTTAAGGCCACAGCCCTGAGCACAGGCGTCGGTGTCATGCCGGCCCTGCATGTCCCGTGGGGCAGGGAGGCCCAGCCTGTTTTTTCTTGCTGGGCCTGTCCCCTCCGCCTGCGGCCCCCGCCCCCACGTGTCGTCACGCAGAGTCCTTGCTGTCTCCCCTGGGTGCTGCTCTCTGCTTGCGCCTGGTGCCTGTGGGCTGAGATGCAGCGGGGAGGAACAAAGGGTCTTTCCAGGAGTGGCTTCATCTGTTTGTTCCCGCCATACGGCCTCCCTCGAATCGAGCTGCAGACAGCCGGGCCCTGGGGCTCCTCCCTGAGGTCTGACCCTGTGCCCTCCCAGTCTGTCGCCCACCCCAGGCCAGACGCTTGTGTGACACTGTCCTCAGGGTCTTCACAGAGGTGGCACGTCGCCTCTCGAGCACCCTCAGGGTCAGAACTTCTGCTTCTCTGTTTCTCTTTTTTTTCTGCCAAGATGTGCGTGTTCTGATTATCCATGTATGTGGATTGCATAAGTGAGTCCTGGACTGAGTTCTAGGAAGTCTGAGCTGTATCCAGACGTCTCACAGTGGCTGGAGCCCAGGGTCTGACACAGATGCCTCTGCCCAGCTCCTGGTCTCTGCCTCTGATCCCTTCTCTTGAGAACAGAGCTGACCGCATAGGAGCATTACACGTTTACCCCAGTGGCTGGGCTCGATGGCTCACGCCTGTAATCCCAGCACTTGGGGAGGCCGAGGTGGGAGGGTCACTTGCACTTAGGTTTTCAAGGCCAGTCTGGGTAACATAGCGAGACCCCGTCTCTACAAAAAGCTAGAAAAATTAGCCGGGCAAGGTGGTTTGCGCCTGTAGTCCCAGCTACTTTAGAGGCTGAGGAGGAAGGACCGCCTGAGCCCAGGAGTTTGAGACTACAGTGAGCTGTGGTCGAGCCACTGCACACCAGCCTGGACAACAGAGTGAGTCCCTGACTCAAAAAAAAAAAAAGCTGCCCTACACAAGTTGCAGACAGTACTGTGACTATCATCGTCTTCCCACAAGCAAAGCCCACCACGGGGTGTGGCAGGCAGGTCCTGGCCTCTTGGTGCAGTGGAACAGAAGCAGAGGAGCCAGGGTGGGAGGGTGAGGGACCCCACCCGACAGGGACACGGCTGCCACGGGGACGTGCTGCATCTGCAGCTCAGCGCGGTGACGGAAGTGCCTGATGGAGAGGCCTGCGGGCTGGTGGGCAGGGTCCGGGGGAAGAGGCCCTCCCGTGGGAGAGGCCGTGGCCGTGGGGCGGGGTGGCACCCTGGCCAGCGTCCTCAGCCTCTGCTGTGCAGGGGGCGCAGAGTGACGCGACTCTGCCTTCTCCTCAGGACGACACCGAGCCCTATTTCATCGGGATCTTCTGCTTCGAGGCAGGAATCAAGATCATCGCGCTGGGCTTTGTGTTCCACAAGGGCTCCTACCTGCGCAACGGCTGGAACGTCATGGACTTCGTGGTGGTCCTCACAGGGTAGGCGGGCCAGGCAGGCCTGTTCACACGGGACGTGACAGGGCACTTGCGTTGGCCTGCGGAGCCCACGGTGGGCAGCCACCGC